TCCAGAATGATTATTATGACTGTACATGCAAAAGACGATACCTGTTACTGTATATTGGTTTTAACTGACTACAAAAAAGGTAGGTCTTGTTTTTTCTGGAATTCTGTTTTTTTTTTGTGTATGTTACTAGATTTTCGCCTTTTTAAATCATTATTTTTTAATGATTAAATTACTATACTTCAAGAGTAATCCCGTACAAAATTCACAGAAAATATTCACTCTAAAAGGTAAAATAAAAACTTTTTTAAGTCGTGTTGATAATTTTTTAAAGTGACTTGTTAATATTCGTATATTTGATAAATATATTAGAAGAAACACGAAAAATGTGTTTTTGTGGTTTTTTTTATATAAATGATCAATTATAATACAATATTAGATAAACCTCTTATATATTAAAATAATAAAATACTATTGTTATCTATTAGTTGCCAAGATAAATATTATTTTCCATAATATTCATTTTATATCTAGAAAATAATGAATGTTTACCTTTCTATACATATTTGTATAACAGGTAATGAATATTAAATTTGGAGTTACCACTTTCATAAATGATTCATCTATACAGATAAATAAAATTGTAGTGTCTGTTTGTAATGTCAAGATAACAGCTTTTTACTAAATGCATATGAATTCTAATCGATATTGGCGAAGTAAATGGTACCCAAACGGAATTCCTAGAAGAAGACTTGAATTGAAATGCATATGAAATTATATACGGTTTTTCTTATAAGTATAAGAAAAACATAATTTGTAAATTTGTTGTCTGTTTTTTGTTGGTTCCGGCTAATCTCCGAAACGGCTGGACCGATTTTGAGGGAATTTTCATTGGCAGATAGCTGATGTTATAAGGAGTAACTTAGGTCACTATTATTATTTTTTTATTAGTGGAAAACGCTTTAAGCCTGTTCAATGATTCCAGAAATTACATCTTATATACAAAGAAACAAATTTTTCCTTTTTAAATCTGTGTAAGTTGTATTGATGCTAGATTGGGATGAATAGCACTTTAACGATTTTACTTTGTACTACACATACATACAATCCGATATATATTTTGTTACTATTTGATACATACATACAATAAAATTGTAACTAAGCCGAATCTGTACATTAAATATTTTTTGGAAAATCTTATTGAAATAAACATTATTATCCACACAGAGGCCGAATCTATAGTTATTAGAATTTTTGTCTGTCTGTCTGCTTGTCTGTCTGTTACCACATCACTGAAAAACCACTGGAGGGATTTTGATGAATTCTGGTATGATGATAACTGGTTATCTGGGTCAACATATAGTATACTTTTACTGCGGGAAAATATCTCATCTCTGAGAAATATATACTAAACGTTAAAACGTAAGTAGGGACGAATTCGAGCGGAGCAAGGTTGAGCTGCTAGTTACATTATATAATAGTTCTATTGGCCTACTGAAAGTAAAAAAAACTGATCCAGTCTTTTGTTTCGAGGGAAATGTTTTATTTTTATATTTTCATTTATCTTCTGTAACCATTTAAGTTCATCATATTTTATAGTTAAATAAGGGTTGCTAAAATTTAATTAGAATTATCATTAACACTCAATTCTTCATTTTATCAAATAGATTCAAGCTTACGGTCTCCCCTTGGGAGCTAAAACGGAGGCTTACAAGGTATGTTTAGTTAGTAAAATGAGTAACCCGAACAAAACGAGTTTTGTAAAGCTTGTACTTGAATAATATTATCATTTTTGAATATTTTATTACTTAGAAAACTTTTAATATTGAGAAAAACACTTTTAATCTACTTACGAGTATATTTCGACACTCTTCAAACAATCTAAACACCTAATATACTCGAAATATATATGTATTAATTTGATGTTTTAATTTCCTCTTTAAGCTTATTCACTTTATATTTTGAGAATATTAGCAAAGACTCTATCCTTGAAGTTCATTAAATTAATAAACCGTATATTTACCCTGAATATTTAACGAAACTTAAAATAATCTTACCCCAAGTCCTTCTTAGTATTACTAAAATATATTATGGTCAAAATTAATATATTTAACTTATAAAATATTCATCTATAAGTATAATAAAATTATAACAGGTTCTATATCTATACTTAATATTATAAATATGAAAGTGCGTTTTTTGTGTGTCCTTTCCTTTTTGTGTGTGAGTGACAGATTGGCGGGATTTTTTGTGTGAAGATAGTTGGAGGGCTGAATATATATAGGTACACATAGGCTACTTTTTATAGCGGGAGATTATCTGATTCATACGGAAAACACGTTATAATACCACCCACAACAACTCATCATAGCTATGTATATATTATGTATATATAGTCTATCTATTCCATACTAATTGTGACGCTAGTATCAAATATTTAAAAAAAAATTTAAGCTATATTTTGGACTAGGTTTTTGGACTACTTTGATAGATTTTAACTTGTTTTCGGAAACCCTAATTCTTTTTCTGAAATAAAAGTAGCCTAAGTTATTCCTTATAAGATCAGCTATCTGCCACTGAAAGTCCCGTCGAAATCTGTCCAGCCGTTTTATAGATTAACCGAAACAAACAGACAGACAAACAGACTGACAAAAATGTTAAAAATTGTGTTTTTATTATAAGTACTGTATATAATTTAATATGCATTTAGTAAAAAGCTGTTATTTTTATATTACAAACAGACACTTCAATTTTATTTATCTGTATAGATAAAATTAAACTAAGGGTTTTAAATATCTACTTGTCTATTTTTAACTCAAATATTTATTTATATAATAGTTATAAATATTCTCATAATTCAATTTCAAGGCTGAATCTTTTATATTTTAATTTTTTTATAATACAATTCTAAAATAAAGAAGCTACATAGGTACTCGTATACCTAGAAGAATTCAGGAGATACGCATTTACTTTTTACAAGCTTTTATTACACCTTTAAGTCTTGACATGGGTGTCTCACAGACATGTTCACAGAAATAATTCTAACGTCGTTCATTTAAGTGATGTACACACGTCCTACCCGTTACTTTTCTAATTTTATCTTATGATACATCATTCGGGAACATGTCTCACGTGCATCGAAAGTGTGACCTGTAGACGGAGAGAGTAGTGTGGCTGAGACGGCGGATCTGTATTAATGGAAATGTTACTTTAGACGTCACGTTAGCATTTGATATTCTCAGAGACATATTTCTGATATTATATTTTAATATCAATGAACTATGAACGTCGATAATCGATACTTCACAGAAAAGTTATATCTTCTAATATGATAAAAAGGCAGAAGAATGGGTTAAAAAAGAATTTAAAATTATTTCAGCGAATTTAACTACAAAGAATCGATGCTTATACCTTTATACTTGATGCTTTTTCTTGACACTTGTTGATGATTTCGAATCTAGACCTTCTATCTTCTATCCTTCAAATTTGAAATTTTGAAAGAGTTTACGGTATCATGTTATATAAAAAATGTAGTAAAACTTCTGCTACATCGAGAGATCGGTCGTTACGTACTTGGTCGTTATTGGTACAACATGAAATTCACGGAAACTATTCGAACCGTATTTCATTATTTATTTGTATTTCTTAGTTTATTTCTTATAAATGTAATGTTTGTTAACAAAGTATCCTTAAATTTAGACCTAATATAGACTAAAATTAGGATACCTATCCTTAAATTAAGATAAAAGCTTTCCCTATTTTTATTTATCCATTCCTGATTTTAAGAGATCCGTAGGCAAAAGATTAAAATGGAACCCTTATAATTAAGCTTAAAAAAAACTCTAAACCTATAGGAGTTTCATTGTTGAAATTTGGTTGGTAAGTGACTCATATAAAAGGGGAAAGGTGAAAAAAATTTATTTAAACGTGAGTGCTTTGCTATCACTGACTTTAAATTTTCATAGATGTTTTTAAGTGACTTTTCTGTTTAAGCCAATAGTTTCAGAATTATATGCTTTTAAAGTCATAAACTTTCTTTCCCTTACCACCATCCACCAACACCCCCCCAAAAAGCACCAACTTTTGAAGAATCAGATGAAAAATTCTGAAAAAAATTGAGATAATGGATTCCAAAAAGTTTAAAGTAAAACACATGAGTAGTTTTTGAGATGTGGGATAATTGTCGTTTCACGGGTTCAGGTGCAAAATTAACTAACTTTCTTATAGAAATACTATGAAATTTTCAAATAAAAAGAAGTACAAACGTTAAAAAAAATATTTATGCGGTCCATAAAATTAATATTGTAGATGGAAAAATATTTTATTTTAACTATTTTTGACGTAACGTAAAATTTTAATATTTCGTGCTACGGAACCCTTGATGTGAGAATCAGATTCGCACTTGTCACTTTTTTTATTTTAAATTCAATATTATATATTTTTTCAGAAAATTACGAGTATGAATGGTTGGTATTTTTTTCTCAATTATAATAAACCACCTCAAAACGTCACGTTACGTCAGTACTAATAAATCGTACAGACCTTGTCAGTACTTAGCGTTTGATTTTATTCGTTTGTACGTTTGTCTTTCCAGATGAAAATTTGTAACTCGTTTTCAAGTGCCGGCATCTGCTTTAGCTATTTTTGGCATACCCATACTTCGTTAGCAATACAATAATTCATACAAATAAATAAAACTGTACTGGCTGTTTGTAATGGTAAAATAACAGATTTTGATTAAATGCATCTATACTAATATTATAAAGTTTGTAAGTTTATGTAAGAAGATAGTTTGAGATCCTGGGAAGGACATTGGACACTTTTTATCAAAATTTAAAAATTCAAAATTCAAAATATTTTATTCAGCATTAAATCATTACAATTCTTTACTGAACGTCATGAGTCTACTGCCAGTTCGGAAAGAAGAAGCCTCAGACCTGAGAAGAACTGGCGAATCCCGGATATCCCGGAAATTATCCTTTAAAAGGGTGAAAATGCGAATGAAAGCTTGCATGGAATAAAGCTAGGGACGAACCCGAGCGAAGCGAGGGTGAGTTTGAGACTGAGGAATGGCTTGACGGACAGCTCGACGCACGGCTCGATGAGCAGCTCGACGCACCGATCGACGAGCGGCTCGACAGACGGCTCAACGCACGGCTCGACGAGCGGCTTGACGAGCGGCTCGACGGACGGCTCAACCGTCTGCTCGACGAACGGCTCGGCACACGGCTCGATGGACTGCTTGACGGACGGTTTGACGCACATAGTCTATTCTATACTTACCGTTAAAACGTACCTACGAAATACTTATAAGAAAAAACTTTTTTTATTTTTGGCTGTCTGTTTGTTTGTTCCCGCTAATCTACAAAACGGCTGGACTTATTTTGACGAGACTTTCATATTTTATACAAGGAGTAAGTTAGGCAACTTTTTGAAAACAAAAATTTTTTTTAAGTTTATTTCAGAAAAAGGATTGGGGTTCCGCGCAAAAATTAAAACCCATGAAATTGAGAACCAAATGCGATTCAAATATATGTATTTATATAATTTATTACATTTTATTTATTATATAATAATAAAATAATAATTGAATTCGAATTTTTTTCTGTTTAAAACGTACCTAGGGACGCACCGGAGCGAAGCGAGTTCATATCGCTACTATATTATGGAGGTAATCTGTTCACAGAACCGATAAATAATTTTAATAAAATACAATTTGCTTTATATTAAAATGCATTATATCTTCAGCCCGTGTACAGAGCTAGAACAAAGGACTTGAAAATTGATCCTAGAACTCTCTAACTAAATAAATATTTCTTAAACATAAAAATAGTTATCGCTTTTAAGCTCTTTTTAATAGTAGTATGAAACCTTATTTTTGAAAAGATTTTTTTGCCATACAAAAGACGTATTATAATTTATTTACATTTATTGAAAGAATAAATTTATTAAATTTAGTGTTTATTAAGTTTTAATGCGGTAAAACTCTGAGTCTTACGAATGGAATAAAATTTTTAATTCATAAGTTACTTATCACCTCAATTCTGTTAGTACTTTAATACTCCTTTGAGTAGAATTTACTATCACATAAAATATTATAGAAACTTGGGAAAGTACTCATATTTATGGGCGATCACGCTTAAAATATTATTAAAAAACCAATCTGACCCCCGCAGGAGGTAAACATTAATATAATGACATTCATATTTTTGTCTGGCAACAATTTAAATCTTTTCTAGGTAGGTAAATATTTTTATTATGAATCGTAGAAAGTGCAATTTTAAAAGCATATTTTCATTTAAAATAACTGATAGTACTACGTTAGAAAACAAAAATTACTAGTAAGAGTGAATTTTCCAGAAGACTAGGCGGTATTCCTTTAAAAAAATTAAGAATATCATTTTAGAATTGTGACATAGACATGATGAGAGCTCAATTAAGTTGAATATTTTTCTTTTATTCTCCCAAACACTTTTACCGTGACGCAAAAGTGTTTTTTGTTATTTTTTTTTAATAAAACTTTCTTAGATTTACGCGAATATTTGACATTTTATATAAAACTATCTCATTCTATCTATATATTTTTATTATTCAAATATATTTCTACATACATTTTTAATGATAAGTAATATTATAAAAGGAAAATGTGTTGTTAGTTCATCAGTCTTTCGCGCAGAGCGTTAACCAAAGCGATTGAACGTTATCTTTTGTATGGAGTTCTTTTGCGAATGCTATTTTTCAACCAAACATATGTTATATAAGAGTAATGAGTATCTATATGTTACCGTGTAATATTAGTGTACTGCAAAAAGTTGAAGACGCTTCGTACCTTAAGTAATATTTAACTTTAAGACTTTGCGAATTGGTTCTTTACAATGATATGCAAGTAAACCTATATTTAAAATACCGTATATTAAATAGTGTAAAATAAACAGCTCCATATAATAAATAATACCTTGGAGACTTTCAATTTTATACAACACGCAAGTTGTGCCTTGCTCTTTCTCCCTAAAATAAAGAAAATTTTGTGAGTCGTCTGTATTTTGATTCCTTCCCTTGTATTACCAAACGTTGTAAAGCCTATACTAATGTCATAAAATTGAAGAGATTGCTTAATTTTTTCTTCGTTTCATTTGATTTTTTTGTAGTTTATATAACAGTTGCATATCCTTGTCATACTCTATCTGTGTATTAAATTTCATCTTAATCAGTCTAGCCGTTTCAGGGTGTAAGAGTAACAAACATACACACACACGTATAAGTGTTCGCAGTTATGATAATAGTCTGATTTATTGAGGTAGGTTATACGCCATCTTACGTCACATTATGATTCTTAGGAGCGCAGTAATTGTAATATTTTAATAAAATAAACTACGCTGATAAATTTTTATTTTATTTCTATTGGGGAAATAAACATTGTTTACAAGTATTTATACGATAGCTTATATAAATACTTCATAGACCAATAAAGTTTCCACTGATAAATTAATCATATCGAGCGGTGAAGTTAAACAAAAGAAATTACATATTACACTTAACAAAAACAAAAAAAAAGATAAAAAATTAAATAAAACTAATTACATATAAAAAATATTACATTTTTTCTCTAATCAATTTTTTACATTTAAAAATGGAACATGTGTCAAAATCTATATCGTTAAAATATTTATTATAATTATTGCATGCACGTAACATAAAGGTACCTATTGTTAATATATTTAGTTTTTTTACATGGAATAAAAAATAAAGATTTATTTCTTGTGTTGATTCTGGGACATCTAATATTAATCGTTATCTATTATTATTTATCTAATATTAATTATTTTTTGATAGTAGATATAATAGTCTTAAAGACCGTCCGTCTGTAAATTGAATGTCCGAACCACTTCCAATAGTATTGAACAAGCCAGTCAATACTGCTTCAATGAATGTTTCAGCATCGTAGTCTAATGAAACAATGTTCAGATGTTAGTCTTTCATCTCAAAACAGTAAGATGAAACTGCTACATGTATCGATACAATTATAGGTATACCTACATATATGTATATTTTAGATATATGGCATGTAATTTGAATATATTACTTATTTTGTTGTATTTTATAAAACTAATCTATCTAAAAAAAAACTATCTATACATATAATAAAATTGTAACTAAGCCTCTCAAGAATCTGTACATTAAATATTTTTTGGGAAATCTTATTGAAATAAACATTATTATCGATACAGAGGCCGAATCTATCGTTTTTAGAATTTTTATCTGTATGTTACCTCATCACAGAAAAACCACTGCAGGAATTTTGATGAAATTTCGTATGGTGATAGCTGGTTATCTGGATCAACATATAGAATACTTTTTACCGCGGGAAAATGTCTCATTTCTGAGAAACAAGTCATAAACTGCAATGTAAGAGTATACTAATCCTATATAATATTATCCTTAATAATTCCCTGTAGTAAAAGGTAACCTTAATTTTGACTTGAATTACAAGTTATCAGTCACTACGCAAAATTTAGTTAAAATCGGTTCAGTACATTTTGCGTGAAACGCGCACATCTATTTTGCTAAGTTACTGTTTTATTATATGTATGGATAAAGTCATGATTATGCGTTTTGGTCTAATCCAATATAGTTAGTCAGTACAAAGTTAGATTCGAATTAGAGCAACTCCGTCTTTCGTGATCAAATTCAGATTCGAAAGTCAGATTCGAACGTCTATCAATACTTTTAGAATCAACAGCATTAAAAACAAGAATATAAAAACTCCTAAGTATCTGAACTCGACAGCTTCTTCACTAAAAGTTAAGTGCTTAATAAGTTAAAGACTGCTTGTTAGTTTTTAATCCATATTAAAAATTATAAATGTTAAAGTAACTTTGTCTGTTACCTTTTGACGCAAAAATTGCCGAACAAATTTCGATAAAATTTTGCAAGGACATAGATTGTTTTCTTGCGCGCTTATCACGCGGGCGAAGCCGTGGGAAAAACTAGTTTAATTAAAATATAATAGTACTAGCAACTCACCCTCGCTTCGCTCGGGTTCGTCCCTAGGTGGATTCCCCATACACATTTTCATCTCCATTTTCACCCCCTTAAGGGATGATTTCCGGGATAAAAGTATCCTATGTTCTTTCCAGGGTCTCAAACTATCTTTTTACATAATTTCATTTAAATTGGTTCAGTATATCCAGAGATTACCCCCTACAACTTAACAAACTCACAAACTCATAAAATTTACCTCTTTATAATATTAGTATAGAAGTATGGGTAATAATATAACCCTACTTTCAATTATTATTATCAATACTTTTCCGTAAAATCTGAACGGCTTATAAATAAGGAAGCGTAGTGAGACATTCTTTTATCTCATTGAACTTAAAAAACTGTACTTTTCCACCTCAATCTCTTAGCGATTTTATTCCTTCTTATGCATCATGATACACCACCAAAAAGATTAATTATTTATCTACCTATTGAATAGAACTAAAAAAACTATACCAAATCGTTCCAAATGAGAAATAAACGGCACACCTATACCAGTGCAGTTATACTGATATAACCGTGTCTATTTTAGAAACAACAGAAAGTCCTATGGGAGAAGCATTGGCGAATGCAGTTTAATTACTTAGTTATTAATAGATACTAGCATTCGGTGTACAATCAAAGCGAAAAATGAACTAATGAAATAAGGAAATATCTACACTGTGAATTAACCGATTATTTTACTTTGACTGATAGAAAACTACAATTATATACACATTTGAGTTATTATATTCTGTTTTTGATTACGTATCCATGTATATACCTAAATAAATTTAATTTACATATGTTTTTTTGCTTCTTTTAACCACTCCTGTAGAAGACATATAAATAAAAGTTGCCATGTTATTCCTAACTGCTTCTATTTCAAGCAATACTGCTTGAAGAAGTAACAAACACTCGGATAGATCGAATTTATAATATTATTGTAATCTATACGAAAATTATAAAAAGTCAGAATTTGTTTGTTTGTTTTAACGCGCTAATTTGAGAAACTAGTAATCCGATTTAAAAAAATATTTCTGTTATTAAATAGCCCCTTTATTGAGGAAAGCTATAGGCTATATATCGTATAATATATATATATATATATATATATATATATATATATATATATATATATATATTTGCTCCATGTATGTATTCAGCCTTTCTTAACGCTCCACTGCTGGGAACGGGCCTCCCTTCAATACGAGGGGGATCAGGCCATAGTCCACCACGCTGGC